TTTTGGCCCAAATTAAAGCATGATGTTGTAGATTATTACATATCGTGCCACACCTGCCAAGTTGTAGGTAAGCCAAATATGAAGATCCCAGTATATCCGTTAAACCCATTCCCGCATTTGATGAGTCTTTCAGCCGTGTAATCATGGACTGTGTCGGACCATTACCAAAAACAAGGGCTGGAAATTAGTATTTACTTACAATGATGTGCGCTTCAACCAGGTTTCCTGAAGCAGTACCATTAAGGAACGTTAAGACTCCGAGTATATGCAAGCTCTTTAACAAGTTCTTCACTTTCCAAAGTCAATTCAATCTGACCAAGGAAGCAACTTTTATGTCAGGTTTATTTCAACACGTGATGCAGCAATTAGGCATTAAGCAATGTAAATCATGTGCACTTGAAAGATATCACCAGATATTGAAGAACATGGTGGTTGATACTTCAAAAATATAACTTGATAGTTGAACATATTCCTGGTAAATTCAATATTATACCAGATGCTATATCACGAATTGTTTAAAGAGTGTACAAACTTTATATTTTATGTTTTTGTGTAAACAATTGTCATAAAAAACAAAACAAATATACGCTTGTGCTAGAGTTCTAATTCTTTGATTTGTGTACATATTTATAATTCCAATTTCCAACATTCCCCAACATGACATTTGTCAACTAAAACATAGAGGTCAATTTCGTTTCCATAAGAACACGTATTATTATCTATCAGGTAACTGATATTATGTTTTGGTTTTCTTACAAAGATGACTTGAAGACTTGGGTGATTTATGAGATAGGATCCACAATGATAGTTATCTCCATTCAAAAACTTCAACTGCAGTGTTATCTTAAACGGTACATGTGATATGCTCAGTGACGTTTCTCTTCTGTTTGCCAAAAACTTAGTCAAAGTCATTTTCGATGTAATGACGAAACTAATTAATCTGATAATTATTTGGTTACAAAAAAAGTCATAACATATATATCTTATAATAGGTTGATATCGGAGCAAACTACTTTTAAACAATGTATCCCGGACAATTCCTAAATATGCTTGGATACGAAATCGAGACGGAATAACGGAATCCATTGTAATATTCTTCATTTGAACGTTCCGTTTTGGACTTTTGTAATACTTTAGACCATTTATTGTCCATCCACTTCGTTTTCCTCTTAACATAGAAGATATAACAACATTATAGCAGACATATTTGAATGCATCATTAAAATAATGTAGTTCCAAACAATTTGTCTACCAAACAGAAGCTTCTGTTGTCAATTCTGTATTATCGTAAAACACGACCCGTACTTAACTACATGATTTACTTTGTTGGTACGAAGCACTGTCATGTCTAGTTTAAGTCAAGGGTTTGTTTCTAACAGCTCTACTGATCAGAAATGTCTACATTTTTTTCCCGTTCACGATTCGACGTTTATACGGGACAGACTTCTATGGAATACAATTACTGTTTATATCTGACCGATGTCTAGACACGGATTGTCTAATCTTCATCAACCAAATGATTTTTTAAAGATGTGTTTGAATTCCAAAAATGCTGCAATTGTTCGGCTGCTTATAAAGCGGCATCTTCAATAGAATGCTTGATCTGGCTTGAACTACGTACATCTTATAAAGGCCTTCACGTAATACCCTGCAAATTTCGGCACTAATTTCGATTGGGTACAAGCCCAGCTTGGGGGCCTATTAAAGTCATCGATCGTCGCGAATACCAAGTTTCGCGCTTTTAATCTAAAATATCTACATGTGATAATCGAGTTACAAAGTTCAAGGTTCGTTCAATGTCATAGTTTCCGTAGAGGTCGCTATGTCACAACCTCTGATTGGACGCTACTGTTCACGTGTCTGTAGATAATATAGCTACAAGTTCGGGAATTGTGAAGTAATCTAGCAACGGCCAGATGTTGTCAAAAACTCACAGTCGTTGCTTCAGGAACATGATAAAGAGGGTGCATTGGTGTGATTCAAAGTAACGCTTCTATTTTAATATCATTAGGCTATTCATAAGCAGTATTCGGTTATTCGATGATATTGCTCTCGTCAGCAAAAGCATGTCCACATATCATAGCAACAGCAATATATGATGCTGCCCTTTTCAAAACAATTGTCAATAGATGTATTTTTCTTTCATGGCCGGGCAATTTTGTATTTGCCTTGCAACCATAGTTGATAATGAGGTTAAATCAACACAGGTTCCAGGAAACAGCTTAAGGATTTGTGAAGCCTGGTTGCTATGAGTCAAGGTGTAATGCCTAAGAGGCTCACAAGAATTAATGACACTAAAATATTCTTTACAGTTGAGTCTCCAAGATGACTATTGTGCTAATGCCAAGTTAAAACCCGTATATGTCATGAGGTTATCTACTTGTATATATTGCATACAGATTATTGCAGGTGCGATCTAGTCAATAAATAATGCCCAGTGGAATATACCTGTAGTTTTAATTATCCAGTTCTTACAAATGCGGTCACTAGGTGTAGGATAAAGCACGAGACTGAGGTTATGCTGGGGAAAGAAAGACTGAAGAAAATAACCCGAGAGAAAGAAAACCCGAGGCCGGCAGGCCGAGGGTTTTCTGTCGAGGGTTTTTTTCTGTAGTCTTTCTTCTCCAGCATAACCGAAGTCGAGGACTTTATCTTGCTTATAAACCGTCTATGTTTACATGTAAGCAAGATGAGAATATCCCCGAATTCCCACAAGAAAAACCTTATATCATGTTTTCTTATGGCAAAAAAACCCTACCCTGGACGAATAACCCGTTACAGGTTTAAAGAAAAACTTTCAGAAGAATAACCCCAAATTTCCCTGTATATATCCATAACCGCCCTCGACTTTCAGACCGCAAGTTATTCCGGGCATAGAATATACCCCAAAGATCAAAGAGATTTACCGTTACAGGTTTATAATATATCGTAATAGTATATTATAATGAGAAGATTAATCATGTGAGATGTCGCTGTATCGATTTGTAGCTATATATAAATTTAACCACGTGTTTGCTGTCATTCCACTATCTTCTCCCCTGCTCTTTAAATATTTCTCTGATTATTGCAGTGACACTAGCTAGTGCTGTGTTGATAGGAATTATATTAAGCAGACGGCAAAGCTGATCTTTATTCATCACATGTCTTTATTGTCAGCTTTTATTTATTTATTTATCAGTGCCGACATGTTCTGAATTAATGGATTCAAATATTTATGGAGTGTGGGTGAAACTTTGACTTTCGACAAATTAAACTACTTGCTTTTTTGTATTAAACAAATCATTGTTGTGTTCAGGATTTATGTGTAACGACAGAAATTTGAGTTTCAGGATAATAACAAGAGGTTAATAAATGTAAAAAAAAAAAAACATGTCGATCGAATAACTCACATTCTGAATGACAGCGTACCTAAAATAAGATTACATGAGGCACAGAGAAGACTTTTTCCAGCAAAGCAAAACAACGGGAATTCTTAGTCCGTATACATTTAACTGTGTATTTGATGAAGATAGGATACTTTTAAAGCTAAGATTATCACTGACGTTGTCGGTAAATTGTTCCCTGAAGTCCGTTTTTTAAATCGGTTACACAAGTCACACGATCATCAACGTCTAATATGACAGTCTGTGAATGAAAATTAACTTTGTCTTGACATTTGTTAGTCGATAAATTAAATGCAACGGGTCGTCGTTGAACGTATCAATTTATCTCAGACGCTGTTAGTTGTTTTCATCAAGGCGAGGTTTCTTTCAACTTGTCGATGAAATAATGTCAAAAAGTGTCTCAAGATAGACCAAGGGCTCCTTGGACAGAATGACCTTTCTGAAATTAGGTCTAAGTGTTATGAAAAATATAAATTATTATGCTAATCAAAACATCGCTATTTCTTGATATTTTCAACCGGTAAAGTTAGAAAGATTCCGAATTGCAACGTGTTATGCATTGGGGGTTTCAGTTAGAATTCATCTGGGGCGTTCTGCTGGTCTGTGATTCCATCTAGATTCCAAACGAATAATCCCCTGGATCTACTGTGCATGTCATCTATTTTTAACCATTGAATGTATGATGCATGTGTCCTGATTAACCTTGATTAGTAGGAATTATCAGCACATTGAATGGTACAGTTCTTAAACGCTCTTTTCCGTCAGACTTCATTGTGCTAAAAGATCACCAGTGTTAATGACGTCATGAGAGCCGATTTATTGTCATAGTGATCCCTCCCAGCGCTAATCTTTGTTATCATTGGTTTGAGTGAAGGAATTTTCATGTAATCAGATTTCCTTTGTAAGAAACAATTATCATCCCTATAATTATATCCAGACAACTGAAATCAATGCCTCCAATAATAATTCGTAAGCTACATCACGTGTAGACGTTGTTTTAAGATTGCGGATTAGATAAAAACGGGTGCCTGGCTGTTATGAATATTTATTGGTTATTATTAACTGGAGTGGTGATATGGTCGGTTAGCTAAGAATTGAATATGACAGTTATTATGTAAAGTACAATTAAAATTACGTTATTTTCTCTGTTGTTATGTAAATGATGTAGCAGTTGTTTCCGAGAAGATGCACCTGACGTTTTTTATCTTCTTGGTTCTGGTACAACGATCTCTCGTTTTCAGATTGCTAGATGATAGTAGGCATTAAAACCAGATTTTTCGATAACTGACAATAGTTCTAATCTAAAACTACTCCATAACCAGATGGTAGCAAGTATACAGTTAAATTCTGTAGATTTAGTGAATTGACTAATGTTAATCAGAATTGACATTTTCTACCTAAGAGAATGATACCAACAACACACTGTAGGAACGTGAATTTGAAAGATGGGAGGAAATCAATGTATATTTCATCATATAAACTAATAGCAAAAGAAGCACTGTGTTTGAAACAATTTCAGATCGTTTGAGTTAAAATATGGAACGTATAGATTTCAACATAAGCATGCTTGATCAAAGGCTAAAACGGTTTCTGAACGATTCGGAGCTTCTGAATGAAATGATTTTAGAGATATATGGATCTACGGATGTTTTAACATTAGTTTTAATAGTACTATACCTTCCTGTGTTTTTAATAGGTGTAGTCGGTAATGCCAGTATGGTTTTTATCGTTGCTACGTCACGGCGTTTAAGAAGTGTCACCAATCTGTATTTGTCTAATATGGCCGTAGCGGATTTTGCAGGTAAGCATATACCCCCAGAAATACCCGTAATACATTTCAAAGGTTCTCACCTACAATAAAATATAAAATGACGCGCTAAGAATTTAATCATAGCAAAGCTTTCGTCTCGGCGTTGATCATTTTTATTGAACTATATTTTTCTTGATATTTGTAATTTGCATCTTGTAATATGCATTTTAAAACAGTCCATTGAAAACTACTTTTACTATATTCCAAAAAGTACAGGGAATTATAGATTGCTAGAATATAATATTAGTAATGTAATTTAGGCATTTAGTTACCTCTTTTGAGCATTTTGTTACCCTTTGTACATGCTTTAATTTGGCCAAGGGCTAGGTTCGTGTTACGGATATGTTTTTGTTATGAACATTAGAACTATCAGTAAGGTCATTAGCCTCATGGCGAGTATTAGTTTCTCGCCATGTAGAAATATCAATAAATGAGATTAGCGACTAATACCCCTATTGTTTGAGTAAACTATATGTCATCAGCAGTTCTCTCAAATCAAACAATACATGTACATTAGAGAGACGTTGTAGCACGACAGAGGAACGGGAATTTTCAGGACCAAAGATTATCAGAACGGGAAATAACATCTAGCCAAATGTTTTCGACCGGATAAAGAAAGCGTTATGGTATTTTAAAGATGCCTTCCTGGGTACAAACTGCTGTGTCCTTATTGAGTCCACGATCTGCTGCGTGCAATTACGTTCGGATACGTTTCGATACGATCAACACGGTTGCTACGACTGACCTCAATATATGATAAGACCTGATAGGATCACCACGGTTACCCAACGATTAAAACCACGATTTCAATCGTAGCACGAATCGTGACATTAGGAACCTGGCATTAAATCCCCGCCAAAACGTTTTTATATCAACGAAATGCTCCCAAGCCCTAAAAATTTAATTTATTTTAAGCTTCCTTATTTGGAACCAGACTTGATATCGCGAAAACAGGCCAATCTGGGTCTGGGGGCATTTTCAGATTGATCGTTGTTCATTTACCATAAGTGTCGAAGCCTAAATAAATTGTAGGATTATCCCCTGTCCATTTCTTGCTTCGGTGTTTTATCACTGAATCTCACTCGACCCGACAACATGTCCGTCTGTGATGCCCGTCTGTGATGTCCATTGGGTGTTTCCAGTGAATTCATTATTTTTCTAGCAAAAATTGCATGTCTCAACCTTCCATATATACAACAGGGTTCTACACAAACTAGGTCATTTTGCTCAATAAATCATTTACACGTAGGGATCTTTAGCAGTGGAGGAAAGCCCAGGAGGTCGGGTAGGCGACCACTCCGTGTCACGCTTGTCACTTAGAGATTTAGACCCCCCCCCACACACACACACACGGTAAACAACACAAGAACTTTAAATTTGAAATTCACTTTGTGTATGAAGAGGGCTTTTGCAAACGCGATATATACTTGTACCTATGATCTATTTTCTTTGTCACAAGGTTTGTAAATCTATGATCCTATCTATATTGACTTTTCACTTTTCATCCAATATGACAAAATCCTTCGAAACACAGCAGCAGATTGACATCAACACAAATACCATGTTCAATGAGAAGATGGATCGTGTTTAGACAACAATGATGATTTGATTTGTACCAAATCGTCATTGTTGGCTAAATTACGATTTTTGCACCGTCTAAATGGTATGCTCATCATGTAAATTTGTTTCATGTTATAGAAGATTCTATAAATATTCGATTTCGTATTAAAGAGGAACAGTGGTCGTCGTTGGGTTTTTTTAATGTTAATGGACAGGGATACAAATATTTATTCTACCGGATTTTTGTTGTATATTTTAGTTATTGTCCGGTCGTAGACACTGTGCATGTAGATTCGGTTTCTAAAATCTAAGTCATATATATAACAACGATTTGTTTTACTTTCGTATTTTAACAAGTAAACTGGTGGCTATTGGCGCACACTGATACTATGTGGCGGTCTCCAAACGAAAGTTCCTCGCTATTATCAACGTGATCTACCCTTGGCAGTAGTGCAAGAAAAGGGTCCGACAACGAACAACGTCTTGTCATTCGGAAGAGACGCAAACTGATGTTCCGTGTAAACGGCGTTGTCCAGTGCACAATTCCCCTCATATCACACAATGCATGGGGTACGCCGATCTCTATTAGCCCTACTGGTGCACACCCTCCGAAATACGAATGCACACTATGTCTCCATTTAGCTGGGGTGATATGTGTCGTTTAAGAGGCAGAATATGCTTTTTAGAACATTTATTTACCTGCCCATGTTGACATTTTTATTTTTTGTGATATGGTGCTTAAACCACCTGGGTTTTGTTTATATCCAGTAGCATCTTCTTCATGCCGCCATGTCCAGTATAGATCCTCATGCACAGTGACGGATTGACAACGCGTGAGCATGCTTACCATTTCTAAATAACCGATAACAATATCCACTTATTTGAGGTAAACAATACGTGTACTTTTACTTATAAACAGTTTTGGTGGTGGCAGTTGCTACGTGAGGTTATCGCCTACACGAATTTGGAGCATGATCTCACAGAATAAAATGTAAGAGTACATTATATCATCCTCTTATTGAGTTATCCAAAATAAAACAGGATGTTGATGATAATACACCCCGACAAACAATTGGTAGAAAGATTTTGCTACGCCTGTTTTAGATTATTTCTATGTTACTGCTGTGAAACAATTAGTTTTCTTTTAATAAATGATAGTATTTGCAGGGTCTATATGGATAGCTCCTGCTCTGGACGCTCCTAATCAAATATTGGTATTTGCCGGGTCTGTCATCCTTGGTATCCCCAGTGGTCTCATCCTGTTCCACTCTACTAACCCCTAGGTTAATCCATGGGGTAGACACGTGTTCAAGTTATCTGCACTTGTTGATGATTGTGCTTTTTTCATCGACCAATCCCATAAATCGTTAATTGCAAAGGGGGTTGGCGAAGGGAAGTAACTCTCATCGGGTAAAGTAAGCAAAACGCAAAGGCTTTCCTTCCAGAGGCAAGGTTAGAAAGCCAGAATATATATATATAATATATTGTGAACACCAGAGAGGTATCTATATGTGGAGGTTCTAGAATTTTATTGAGAATAGTATCTTGAGTAGGCGAGAGTACCTTCGGTGATCCAACAGCACTACTTACGTAAGCAAAACGCAATCACACTTAAAGACCGCAAATAGTATAAATTCAATAATAATGAACATAACAGATTGTTAATAGTTTATGAAACATTTCAGACAAAGTACGAATAGTAATAATTATAACAAATGTGAAACATGTACATGTTATACATATTTAAAATCAGCGAAACTTAAAATGTGTGTTTATATCCCAAAGACCTCGGTTCCTTTCGATATTGAAATGCATCGGACCGTAACTTCGTGAATTATTGACCCTGCGTGTACGAAAAATCATGTTTTGAGCTTGTGGAGCCTCTAGAGGTCACAATTTTTATTTGATTTTCAAAAACATTTATATATCACCATTACTCGATAATTCAAATTGTGGTTGAATTCAAATTTCATGAAAATCAAACAGAAACTTTCTTTGTACATAGTTCACTATACCCACCCTTATGTCTTCCCACCCCTTTGATGGTTTCCAAATGATTATCTCTGATTGTATATAGATGTTTGTCTTTGTTCCATATTTTGTATATATATATCCTCATTGCACTATGATGGTCATTCTTTGCTTGAGATAGACGGGAGAACCCTCGTCGAAACGTCGATGTAATAAACCCTTCAAGTAACTTGTATTCCATATAATTGTGTCATGTGTTATTCTCATCCAGTTACTAAATGCCACTTAAACAATTTAAATCGAAACTTCTCGTAAAATATTGCAAAAGCATGCAATATGAAGGTTGGGGACCATCTAGAGGTCACACTTTTTATCCGATTTTGATGAAACTTAAAATGTATGTTTTTATCCTAAAGTTCTAAAATTCACATTGGATTAATTAGGAAATACACTTGTAGTACATAACAGAGTTATATTTGTTTTACAGCGTAGTTTACAAGGTGAGGGTTATATCATGTATATTCACTAAGGGTTATTTGTGAATGCACTTATAATACACTGTAGACTGGACAATATTCATGTTATAATCCACATATTATAAACGTAATTTTCTGGATTATGACACCTGACTGTACGAAGAGTTACGTTTATAGCGTGTGGACCCTCTAGAGGTCACAATTTGTATTTGGTTTTAAAAATCGTTCAAATCTATTCCCATTACATCATAGCTATAGTCAAAAGGGAAACTCTCCTTTACGCTAATAGTGGAAACGCATATCATACGTATAAGGGTAGTGGAAACTTAAAATGTGTCAAGGATCAAAAGATTTTGGATGGGTTCGATTTTGGTGTGCCTGAGACCTTTATGCCCCTGCCTTTAACGCAAAATGTGAAATATGTACAAAGTTTGTGGACACCCCAAAATGCACTCCTTTGTTCAATACACTCCTTTGTTCACAGTGTGTGGACCCTCTTGAGGCCACAATTTCTGTCTGATATAAATGAAGCTTAAAACATGATTAAGCATCAAAAGATCTTAGATGGAATATATGCTAAGGATCTAATGATCACGGGTGTGTTTGACTTTTTGTGTGTATTGGAAAATGTGGGCGTATCTTGCATGGCAACCGTTTGTTTAGGAATATAATCCGCCTGGAACTAGGACGCACATCAACTCCAATTACTAAATGATTAACACGTTTATAAACCAGCAATCATAGAGATTATATTTATATAAATAATATATTATTAATTAGGATGATACGAGTCAGTATTAGAGATCGATAAATAAGCTAGTTGATTAACATCACAAGATTTATCTATCAACCCGTTTATTCATCCATACTGCCTTCATTAATATGTAAATAATAAATATCTTACAATATGCACATTTAATCAAAACATAGGACCCGAGTGTGGTTGTCGTATCCAACATATAATATGAAAAAAAATAAAACAAA